AACTTTTGGAGTCAACTCAATACAAGATGGCCACCACAGCCAATTGACTGTAGTTTCCACAAAAATGGTTATAACTTAGTCAAATGTACAAATATTTAGCCTAGCTTTAATGTGGTAGTAATTGAGAGTCATTCCCAGTGCTTGAGCAGTGAGATTTCATATGTAATGTTTCTGTTTGGTTTAAAACCAAAACAACAATTTGTCATTTATCAACACAAAACAATTTCAATCTAACAATCTGGCATACTTTTTAAACTCACATGTTTCACCACATAACAATGTTACACTAAGAATCATTCCTGCTATTCTAGTTACATATTAATCCTCAGAATGTCACAAACACTATAATGTTTTTCTTAGTTTGTTTGTTTCAGGCACATCTGTCTTGTCTGTGACACACATTTGATATTCCGTTCACATTTCTCGATGCTGCACCAGTTTCAATTTTCTCTCTCAGGTCCATTTACAGTGCCTCCAGTTGGGCAGTTTGTCTCTGTGGGGTCACTTTCTCTTGAACAGGCCTCCACGAAAGCATCAGTCAATATGTTAATATAAAACCCTCGTTCTGGACCCTTCCATATTTCTTCACTATGTTTCCATTATTGTTTTTAAACAATTCCATAAAGCTCTGCTAGTAAAGTATATTCAGACACACAAAACTTAAAGATTAATGACAGCACAAAGATCTGTGTTTATAAAGTGAACCCTAGATGCCCCTGTTTACAGACACATCTGTCACACCAAATCTATATAGATGCTCTGAAACTCCCACTGACTTCACAGATTCCTCTCATGAGGTGAATATAAGTTCTGTCAATACGTTCCCATTTGCTTTGTTTGCAGCTGCAGATGGAGATGACACCTACAGATCAGAAGACAACACAGTGGAAGTTACCTGTCCGTGTGGACCACTGCATCCGTCACAGGGTTGCATTTGTATTGCTTTTAGGATATTTGACTTTTCCCTTTAACTTGGAGGTCTTTGTGGAAATTGTTGATACATTTCCAAGGCCTCCTGGAGCAAGACAGACATAGCCGTGAGGTTTTCTAAAGCTGTTTCCATTGGCCTGTGTTTACCTGACACTTGGATTGACAGCAGAGTGATTGGAAATATCCACCATTCACTGCTGCGAGCTCCTGAGTGCACGGAAAGTGCTTTTGTAGTCTGGCTGTAATGGGCCAAGTTTGAATTGAAGGTTGGGAGAAATAGCCTCACTGCGGTAGCGGACTGTGAGGAACTGACACACCACAAATAATACTCAGAAGTGGGGTCCTGATAGCATCACAGCCACAGAGCAGATACAATAGCATGCAGGCTCTCATTTCAATGCACTTTTCACAATGTTGTAATCTGCACAGTCAGATGGAGGGAAAGAAATCATGTCAAACACCAAGTCAGGTGCTGTATGGACTGGGTTATGTTATTGAAAATACTGACACAAATGTTCTACATTCTCACAATTAGTTTGTAAAAGTGTGAGCCAGGACACGTTTCTGTACACTTTATAAATCTTTGTTTTTAACATAGGGTGCCGTTTGTAAAGTTACACAGTCAAAAATTAACAACATTTTTTTGGTTTATTTAGCTGTTAATAAGGAAAAAAAAGTTTTTGTTTTTGTTTCAGTTATATTTTCACCATGTTATTCATACATTTATAAATGCCATAGTTCCCAAATAAATATTTACAGTTAATTTGCAAGCTAAATATTTAGTTTACAAACTAAATACTTAACTTGCAAGTTAAACATTTAGCTAGCAAGTTCAATATTTAGGTCCGAGGTAAATATTTATTTAGCAAACTAAATATATATTTTGGAAATTAAATGTTTAATTTGTAAAAGATATATTTAGGTTTGAGCTAAATATTTATTTAGCTAATTAAATCTTTAGTTTAGGAATTAAATGTTTAGGCTAGAAATTAAATATTTAGTTTGGAAATTAAATATTTAGTTTTGAAAATAAATAATTTATAACTAAATATTTAGTTTACTAACTAAACATTTAACTTGCAAGTTAAGTATTTAGTTTGTAAACTAAATATTTAGTTTGTAAACTAAATATTTAGCTTGTAAATTAAATATTTAATTGGGAACTAATAACATGGTGAAAATATGACTTAGAAATAAAAACAAAAAATTGTTTTCCCTTTATTAACGGTTAAATAAACCAAAATATTGCAGTTAATTTTTGACTGTGTAACTTTAAAAACCACACCACATAATCGGTACAATGAAGTCATCATGATATTAGCCATAATTCGTACAACTATATTAAGAATCTTGCTGTTTTAAACTTTACTTTATTCACAATTCTTTGCTAAATTAATACATTCTGTTAAGTCAGTCAGTTGATATCACCAGGGCTCCACCCTATATGGTGATGACTTTAGTGCCACACAAAATGCAGCATATCAACACAAACACCTTGTTACAAGTGTCAGACATGATGGTGGAGGGCTGATGATCTTTAACTAGTTTATGCGGATCATCATTTGTATAAAACAACTTATAAAGCCTAAACTTTGACAGAAAATGAGTGAGCATTGGTGCAGGACTGCAACAAATGTTCAAAAAGAATCCCTTCCACAAAATGATACAGTCACCCTCAGAGAGAGGGTGTGTTAATATGTGTATTATACCTAAACAGATTAAGTTTCAGGTCTCTCTTGTAAATGAGTCCTCAAGGCTCAATGGGATTTACCTGTCTAAATAAAGGTTGAATGAAAAAGTTAATTAATTAACTTGTCAAATAAAAAGCAACTTTATAATACAGACAGGCACTTTGTTGGTCTGCAGGACTCAGGGATGTAACAAAAAATAAAAACAATATAAATAAAATAATATAAAAAATAAAAACATAAGCCATGATGTCACCGTTTTTGCTACACAAGGGTTATAAGACATTTCCCCAACACTTTTGAATGCATCATTCTACAATGAGAATGATTAGTCACAAGTGGGAAACATTCAAGGTAGTTACTAATTTTTTCAGAAGTGTGACAAGGCAGAAAGTTCACTGCAAAGTCAGGCAGTGCAATGTTTGGTCAGATAAACTGTTTAAAAAGAAAACATACAAGCTCCATCTCAAACTCTATATGTGTGAATTATCAGGTTAAATAGTTCATGACACTAATGTTAGAAAAAGACAACATGTATACCTGATACATATGTTTCATATACCTGTATTAGGATCATCATTTGTATAAAATTAACTTAGAAAGCCTAAAAGTTGACAGAAAATGAGTGAGCATTGGTGTAGGAGTGCAACAAATGTTCAAAAAGAATCCCTTCTACAAAATCAAATAGTCACCCTCAACAAATGTTCACAAAGAATCCCTCCTCAATCCCAGTTGATGAGTTCATTGTATGTTAAAAGCAAAGATTTATAAAGTGTACAAAAATATGTGTCCCGGCTCACAATTTTGCAAACTTTGCAAATGTAGGACTTTTATGTCAGTATGTATATATGTACGTATATATGTGTGCATGTATGTATATATGTATTTATGTGTATGTAGGTATGTATACATATATACATATATATATATATATATATATATATATA